TATATATGGTTATCGTTGTAGACCGATGTACAATTAGGGATAATTAATCTACTTGTTTTAGTTTACTGATCTGCACACATGTCATGGCGAATGTAGTTTGAACGTTTTGTGCCGTCAATAAAATATTTATTTAATCCTTAATATATTGCCTCCATCATGAGTCAAGCGCAAAATGCAACATTTTTAACCTTTCATTATCGCAAAATATAGCGTTTGGAAAAATTTTTAAAACGTTTTATTTTTGGGAAAAAACCGTGGACCCGCCCCCCCCCCCCATCGTCAAAATTTCTCCGAAAAATTTTTACTATTCCCGAAGGGGGGGGGGGGTGCGAAATAAAGGGGGGCCAAATTTTTTAATTGATCCCCTCAGCGACTTACCGCCCGTGGAACGTCTTGTATTATTTTATCGTAATAAGTTTAATTTTGAGTCAAGTTCCGTGCATAATTATAAGCTTGCGATGAATATTATGGTCGCTCCAAATTTTTCACAGCGTACAATATAGGCCCACACAGACCGAACGCAATTTGAGAACGCGACGCGAATTTTCAGTTTTTAGGAGAAATATAACCGTCAACAGATAAAAATTTTACAAGATATTACAAATAGCTAAAATTTCTTAAGTCGTTCCAAATATTTGAAGAACATAGAAAAATATTAAAGTTAAATGTCATTCACTATCGGAAATTCCGTGCAAGGAAATACGGTTTGGAGTTCACTCAACATTGGAAAGCCAATATATATTAAAACGAAAAGTGTTGGTGTCACGCGATAAGATTATAGACAAATTTGGCTAACAGTGTTTAGTAGCAATTTTCTTTAAAGTGTATATGAAATGAAAATTTCGATATCGGGTTTTTTGCATTTTCTGAAAATTTGGTCTTTTCCGATCATAAAAATACAAACCTTGTTGAAAAATTCGAACCAGAAGTTTGTTAATTTTACGATTAAAGTTCGCTTTTTCGACTATCTACTGGCGAAAGACTGGTACCTAGAGTTCCGGGCCTTGTGACGTATGCAGTATGACACGCCGAAGTGTTTCACTATACGAAAACAACAAAATAACACAAACATCAGACAGTTGCCTTTATATTTCGCTATAAAAATGTCCGATAACGAAAGCTTTGAATCACAGACAGAGACAGAAGGGTCAACAGATAATGAGGACATCGCTGAGCAATCGTCTGTTGTTCAGCCATATCAATTTGAGCTAGTCGCATATAGTGACTACGAGGAAGACCAAACGGACGAAGACGGCATTCTTCATGATACTCTTGAGGCGAGTTTAAGAAAAATGTAGCTGTTAATTCATGGTAAGTAAAGTTATAAAAGTAATATTATAATATTAACCCGTTCCTCGACTATTTATTACCCTGTTTCGTCTGATATGCGAGTTTATTTTAAGGTGCTCATGTGGACATTGTAGCGACGAATTATTGCAGGACTGTAAGGAAATTTTGGAGTGCATTGACAAATTTATGTTCGAGGACAAGGACGCAGAATGCATCACACAGCACTGGGATTATGCAATAAGTTGAAAAGTTGAAAATGTTCTCGAGTGTGTATTTCATAATTTCCATACCCAGCGCAAGCAGAAAGATATTGTCTGCCGCGGCTGGGTCTTGAACCCGCGACCTTCGAATACTAGATCGACGCTCTACCAACTGAGCTACACGGCCAGACGGATTTATATTAAGACTGGAAATTATGAACTATATACTGAATGTCATAAACATACTCGTTTATATTAATTCAGCATCGAACCATACTATTTATAGTTCTGCAAGTGTTATGTTAGCCTATATGTTGTGTTATTGTTCACTCCGTAATATGATAATAGCCGTCACCCATCGAACAGTAGCCTACTAGAGACGCAGGGACTTTTCTCTGACATGAAGTTAGGGAAAAAGTATCATAAACCAACAAGCAGAACCCAACATAATTAAATATCACTATTTCTTGTATATATTAGTATTCTAAACGATATCTTGTATTCTTTGTTATACAGTATGTCTATAATTTATCTTTTTATATGTATATATTAGTATACTAATAGGTAATACTATTGACTTGACTTAGCCTTGGGTAGGTAGGCTAATTTTATATATATTCCGACCATACATAAGTAACTTCTTTAGTATTTGCAAACATGAAATTAACGACTCACTGTTTGATTATTTAGTTATCTTCGAGCAGTAGCATATCGTTGGATAGTCAGAAGATATTTGGCATGCTGGGATGGGAGAATTCCAGACCACTTCCAGCATGCATAGTAAATGCATAGAAACTGCACTGCTTTATAGGGTTAGATAGTACAGATGCAAGCAAGATTGCGTGCGAGTGCTGGTGTGAGTTTCGTCACGTCGGTAGACGCGCTATCAGCCTGTCGCGCAAAACATGCATGCGTTTCTTGCGGAGGTTTTCTAGAGGTGAGATAAACACTAATCAAAATATCAAATTCTGGTCTATTTCGTGTACAAAAACACGCAACTACATGTAATAGATTCTCAATGTGAACTTAACGAACGGTTGTGAGTGAACGTAAATTAGGCTATATAATGAAGTAGAGCCCATCATTAGAAGCAGCTATATCAATTAAAGTCCTTTTACCCTATCGTATTTTATCATGCTATATATATATGCAATTCAAAACTTGTTTGTTTTGGAATGGTCCATACTCATGCTATGGCATGTCAGTAAATGTGGATATTTAGTATAATTTCCATGTTATGCTTACACTAGTTACTACAATGTTTGCCATAATTAATATCAGCTATAGCCTAAGCCTATCTACATGAATATGCGGTCTGAAACCTACAACGTAGATACATGCAGTCTCTTAATTGTCTCATCGAATTTGCATTTTCGACCGCTTATACGCTACAACTCGTTGTAATTATATTGTATCTATAGATTGAAAGCGAAGTCTACAGAAAGTGGATTCGTTTCAATTTTCTTCAAAATCTCTCAAAAACCCAATTCTACCCAGACAAAGCTATAATTTTCATAGTGTTTACATATCGAAAGATCGCACTGTGTCATACTGCATACGTCACTGGCCGCGCGATGGAATGTCAGGAATTTCGCCTGTAGATAGTCGAAAAAGCGAACTTTAATCGCAAAATTAACAAACTTCTGGTTCGAATTTTTCAACAAGGTTTGTATTTTTATGATCGGAAAAGACCATATTTTCAGAAAATGCAAAAAACCCGATATCGAAATTTTCATTTCATATACACTTTAAGTAAATGAATAATTAAAAGCAGTTCCAATTAGAAACTCGTGCTAGAAACTTATAAATCATCTATCTCAAGTATGGGAACATCTATCTCAAGTATGATTCGCGATTGAATTGAAATTGCGTTTATACAGTATTGTTAAAAATTGTACGTGATAAGTCGCAAGCACTCGTTTTAAGGTGGTCATACAAAAGAATGTTATTTCTTTCTTAAATTGCTGTTTTGTTGTGTCCAATAGCAAGAAATGACAAACAGAGTTTTAATTTTGACAAACATGTAGTTTTGGGATATATCAGTTACCATAGTTACGAGATAACAGAATCCACAGGGACTGTAAAATGGCCAATTTTAAAAACACAATTAAAGAAAATCTAAACATTTAAAAAACAACAAACCCGTCTGGCATTGTAAATATAACAATTATCTAGG